GGCCCGTAATGTGTTACTTTCTGTTCTAAAAGGGGTTATAGATGGATTTCTTTATAGGGTGCCTATTGTAGGGCTACCCCGAAGTATACGCTGAAATAAGTTGCAATTAAATTTGTGTTTTTCCATGTGATTCTTCATTATACCACAATATACCCCTATATGAGCTATAGTCTAAAGTCTAAACTCCTTAAAGGGGGTTATATAGGGGATTATATAGGGGACTGCTATAGGGGTTACTAAGGGGGATACGAGGAGTTTAGACTATAGCTCATAGACCTTACTGTGCAGTATGAATGGCAGACCTGCCTAGGTGCTCTGTTTGGGTTCACAACGGTGAGATCGCGGTTCAGAGTCTGCACAACGGCTCCTCAGTAGCTCCTGTTGGTGTGTTTGGTAAGGATGGATAGTGTAATGACAAGGAGCAACATAGGAGCTTCTGGGTATGAGTTGGGGATATGCTGATACCAAACTCAAAACAGAAACCGTTTCTGATGACTTGCCTAAAATGGCTTTCTATCTACATCCTAAACCCTAAACACTACACCCTAAACCGTAAACACCAGACTCTAAACCCTACACACTAAACCGTAAAGCCTAAACCGCAAACCCTATCTACTGTTCCATGCACCAGGGGCTCTCCTCCTGCATGGTTAAAAAGCAAAGTACCCAAGTACGCGTCGAATGCCAAGCTCTTAGCAGTACAAGCGGGTTTCCAAGAGCTTGAGCAACTCGTGCAAGTCCTAAGCCTAAACATCACTATCTGAACCCCAAAAGCAGGTAAAATAAACAGCCCAAAAGCGTAAAAATGGTCCAACAGGCAATTGTTTTACATACTTTTGATTTTGGGATTTTCAGGTTGCCCTAAATTCTGAACCCTAAACCCTAAACCTTACAGCCTAAACCCTAAACCCTACAACTTTTTTGAGAAGCCAGACCTTGAGGCCTGGGAACTGCCGTTGGGTGAGCCAGGATGGACAAGCGGGTGAAAACAGACTCCACTGGGGTTCGGGGGTATAGTCCTCCAAAGCGTAAACACTAAACCCTAAACCCACTAAACCCTTGAACCCTAAGACCCTTAAACCCTTAAACCCTAAACCCTATAACACCCTAAACCCTTAAACCCTTAACCCGAAATTTGACGTTGGGTGAGGCTTAGCATGCATCGCCTTCAGCCCTCCGTTCAGTAGTTTGAAATTTGAAATATGAAATGTAATGCTCTAATCGCCTCCCCAAAAACTTTACACATTCCGAAGTCAAATTTAGGGTTTAGGGTTTAGGTCTAATATTTAATCCCCCCCAACATTAGATATTTCAAGTCTATTGCAGAATACCGCACTGGGAAGGTTCCATATTAGGGTGGTGGGGGGCGAGTCTAATGTTACGGGAAGGGGATTAGAAACCAGGTTGAGGAAGCGCTAGGTTCCAACGTCCGGTGAGCCAAAACGCCGTAGGCCTTCTGGGATGGCTGTTTTGGATACAATTGTCCTTGGGTCTGGGGTTTAGGGTTTAGGGATTAGGGTTTAGGGTTTAAGGGTTTAGGGTTTTGGGGTTTAGGGATTAGTGTTTAGGGTTGTTTTAAGAGTTGAATATTTCGGGTATTGTTGCACTGGCTTTAGCGACGAAATCGTGAGTCATGTGTTTTGGCCGCCGCTGTTGTTGGGAAGACTTCGCGGGATCGTGTCGATTTTGGTTAAAAAAAGAGGGAAGCTGCAAATTTTCAGGCACCACCAAAAGGAGTTTAAAAGGTAGCACTTTTAAAGATCCTTTGCCAGCTCAGCCCTCAGAGATATCTAGACTCCAAATACCGATCAACTCTTGAACCTGAAGCCAATTAGCTTGATCGAAAACACTCTTTTTTGAAACCTTGCGAATCCTACCCGCAAAACATGTCAGAGCAAAGGGCGTAGTCCAGCAGACCCCTGGACTTT